GCATTTAAATTTTATAAAACTTCATTGTATAAATATAATTGATTGATTGATTTATTTAAAATGTTAAAAGCAAGTTTTCCATATTTTTAAAACCAGATACATTTAATGTTCTTGATTTTATTTATATTTCCGACTTGTTTGAATTATCGTTTCCTTTCATGTTTAATGCTACCGGCAGCGGTTGGTTTTTCAATCTTTCAAATTTGTTGTTGTTTTATTAAAAAAAGTTTTCTTAAAAAAATTTCTTAAGTGCTCTAGAGTCTAGGTTCAATCAATGAATTTGCTTTCAAACAATACTGTTACTGTTAGAAAAGCTTTTATTTTTTGGCGTTTAAATTTTCTTTTAAGCGTTATTTTAAAGAAATGACTAGACAAGACATGATTTTATTAACTTGTTATGTTAAAGCGTTAATGCTGCTTTAGACTCTGCCAATCTAATAGTTGCAAAATAGTTTGAAAAAAATTTAACTACTTTTTTTTAGATTAGTTAACTATTTTCCGAAATAAGTTTCTAACTAATAATTAAACTATTTATTTTTAATAGAAAAATAATTATAGTTTAATTAAAAATATTTGGTTTGTTGCCCATCACTAACTTTTTATGTCAGAATTGATCGACTACACTAATAAAAATATTTGAAATTTCATCATTCTCAAACAGGTTGTTTAATTTAACTCACTGCATTTTTGACAGAGTTAGGTTTGTTTAGCTGTTCATGTTTTAGTCAATTAAAATTTTTATTAAATCTTACATTACACAAAATAAATTATATGTTTAACTATTTATTATTATGCACCATGGCAGATGAATCATGGACAGCAGAGTCACTCAGGAAAGCTCTTCAGCGTGGAGTGTTAAGATGAAAGACAACAAAGAAGGCAAATCAGACTGTTGGAAAACTTTAATTAGCAGTGGATGAAAAAGGTGATACCGTTTTTGGTTGGACTGTATGTGGACAACGTCGCATAGTTTCTAACTTTAATTAGCAGTGGATGAAAAAGGTGATACCGTTTTTGGTTGGACTGTATGTGGACAACGTCGCAAAGTTTCTAATGACAAAGTAAAGAATTATGGAACCAAAAACATGGCAGATCATTTATACAATTGCAAGTCTCGATCGTCGTCTTGAAAGTAAATGCAGATCACTAATTTCATAAAAAGGAAGCCTAGAATTAAACTTTCTGAAACAGAATGTATATTGATTAAAGAGGTCGAAGTTCGTATGGTAGTTCATCGCGGCACTTCGTTTAACATTTTAGATAAAGAAGCATTTCGTAACTATTCACAAAAATTGATCGGAATTGGTTCAGTGCATTGCAACTTAAGTATTGATGATGTATTATAAGGAAGACAAGCTGTTCGCAGAAAATGAATGAATGCCAACATGAAATTAAACGACAAGTAAAAATTGCAGCAAATTACAATGCTGTTTCTTACTGCACAGATATTAAAACTGACAATGTGAATGAAAATTCTTATTGTGGTTTCACTGTGTTTTAGATTAATAACTTGCTACTGAGTCATGCATTGTACAAATGTGAAAACTTTGTTGAAAAGCGCACGGTGGCTAACATAAAAATATTCATTGACAATAATTTACTTGAACTGGAGCTGAGCCTGATAACACGCCTTGTACAACAGATAAAGGCTCAAATGTTGTGGCGGCTGTTAAATCAAAAACAAGATTGGATTGCAAGTGTCACAGATTAAATACTTCAATTAACGCTGCCTGGAAGAAAGTAATAACACAGGATGAAGAAATTTGTAGCTTGAATTCATTTCGCCATGAATTAATGAAATACGTTAATCAAGCTGCAGGCATACAGTCAAACCTCCCAACAGCTATCAAACATGGAGGCGAAACAAGGCCATGGAGAAGCCTAAATGCTATGTTTTCTTCAATACTTAAAAGCAGAGATGCCTTGGTGCAGGAATTAAGAGAAAGGAAAAAAGAAAATTTCATTAGTCGTATTGATGTTAAACTTCTGCGAGAAATTGTTGATTTTCTACAAGTGTTTTCGTCCCTTTTTGACAGGTAAGAATTTGCTAATGTGCCTACTGTAATGGAAATTGTTCCATTACATGGGCACGTGGGTTAATTACTAGCACAAGGCACGTGTGCTTACCTAGGAGAGAGCGCCGTAAGGTCACGTGGGTTGGTTACTAGACCAAAGTACAAGCGCTTACCTAGGAGAGAGCACCGTGCTATCTACAAATAGCCTGCTTAAATGAGTTAAGCCATCTTTCTTCCTTTCTGTCACTCTTGTGCCAGAGTCGACATTAGTAAAGTTGGTTATTGTATTGTTGCATTTTCGTTAATCTGATTTACTCGGTTATTTATTTGGATAGGTATTAATAAAGGAGAATTAATAATATATCTGTGGCGTTCAGTTAATATCGAACCAGTTACATTGGTACCAGAAGTGGGGTAGTTATTTTATTGATGTACGACAATAATCGGATAATTAAATAACTAACAGGACGTTTTGACATTTGTATAAAAAATTAATTAAATACCTAGTTATAAGTTATTACATTCATTGTACGTTTGTTGCAAGTTGATAATTCATTATAACAATAGATCGTTTGTCGAAGACGAAACAACAAAAATTACAACGTCTGTCGAACGAACAGATAACGAAAAAACTACTAAAGAGATCAATCGACAAAGCCAATGTGCGATTGATGAATAGATCACAACTGTTAGAAACGTGAGCAACAATTTTGGCGGACAGCGTTGAATTTCCATGCAATATTGCGACGGAGGGCGCTGTGTTGGAAGATACTGAAGGAGGATTGACTTTATACGAAAGAAAACAGTTAGAAATGGAATATAAACTTAGAGAAGCAGAGATGGCCAGACTGCGAGAAAGAGATGAAGAAAAAGATGAAAGGGAATATAAACTTAGAGAAGCAGAGATGGCCAGACTGCGAGAAAGAGATGAAGCAAAGATGGCCAGACAACGAGAAAGAGATAACGCAGAATTTCGACTTAAGAGCCAAGAATTAGAGATTCGACGGCTAGAAGTAGAAGGTATGAATAATCGAAGAGTAGCCGATGAGGCTAGTGAGAATAATAATACAATTAGACTAATGCAACAAACTCGATTTTTTGTGGAGTCATTAAAACATCTAATAGGAACTTGTCCGTTAGAACCCAAAGATATCCCTGCTTTCTTTGAACATGTAGAAAAAATTTTCAAAAACTATCACGTAGACGGAGAAATTCAAGCCAATTTGCTGATAATGAGTTTGGACGAAAAGGCCAAAACATGGTTGTATACTATTTCTGCCGACGGTTTGAAGGATTATGGCGAAATTAAAAAACTTATTCTACGGTAGTTCAAGTTAAACCCGACAAAATTGAGAGATGAACTCTTTGCCTTGAGAAAACAGAAAAACGAATCATACACAAAGTTTGGGGTGAAATTATATGGCACGCTGAACCATTATTTCCAAAGCCGTAACATTATGGGATTAAAGATGCGATTAAATTGATATGTGCAGATAGAATAAGAGTTGATATCAAGGCACGCACTGGAATTTATTGTGTCACAAGAACAAGCGGCTTCCTGGATGAGTCATGACGTGTTGGCACAAACAATCGACAAATATGAAGCTGCCATGCACATGATAGTTTCCAGCAACACTACACATATATCTGACACAGTAACAGTCAGATACAATCGACTCGAGAAAACAAACACCAGATGTATAAGAGTAATGGCAACAAAACAGACATGTTTTTCTTGCGGGAAGACCGGTCACATCGCAGAGCGCTGTACATGGAAAAGAAGAGATACACTTACGGCCACTAGAAACGTCATGCGTTGCGAGACGAACAAAGAAACACAAAGACCACAACAAAAATAACAACATCAACAGCAGAGGCAGCCAAAAAGCAACTGCAACAACGTCAGGAACAAACTAATAATGAAATAACAAATTATAAAAGTATTGATAACATCAACTCTTCAAAATCTAAATCATAAATCGTCCAATGCCGAGAATTTTTCGGAGAGCCTCAAATTTCCTACGAAGCCGACGGCATCAAGACAAGTTTCAGCAGAATTTCCGTCAACACACGCGTCCTTAGCATCATCGACAGCCAATGAAAGAAGTCACACAGTTTCAGAAAGCTTGTCAGTGGCGTGTTTAACGTGGAGCACCTATCCCATGAAGGACACTGAAGGACAACAGCTTTACCTGGCACAAGTACAATTCATACCAAGTCAACTGTCTCAAGGATCGTCGGAAGGTTGGGATCAGGCAGTCTACAGAAATGAACACTCTTTTCAGGTTTTAGTCATTTTTTTTTCGTCACCACTTTCACCAAAAAATGTACGAGGAGTTTAGGCAACTTGCCAATGAAGATGCCAATAAAGGGTTCAGGTATGGCTTGGAATGTCTGTTTCGGTACTACAGTTATGGTTGGAGAAAAGATATCGACCTGACATGTTTGAGCACTTCTAAGAG